CCTCTCTACCACTTTGCTGAGGAAGGAAACATTGGCGACGGGCCTATAAGTGCCAATATTGTCCAGCACCAAACTTGATTTCTTCCTAATGGGCCTAATGAGTGTCTCCTTGAGATCAAGGGGAACCTTGCCCTCCTGGAGAGACTCATTAATTATTGCAGTGGCCCATTCAGTTGTTACATGCCTGGCTGCTTTGATTAGCCAGGCTGGACAAGGGTCAAGGCAGGTGGTGATGATTTAGCCAGGCTGGGCAAGGGTCAAGGCAGGTGGTGATGACACAACAGCGATCAAGCACTTTGTCCACCCTATCTGATGTCACAGGCAGAAAATGATTACATCTTACCGGGCAAGGCGGAGTGCTGGATGTCTCTGCTCGGTCTACTGTTTTCAATAAAGGAGTAAGATCCCGGCGGATGGCCTCCACTTTAGATTTTAAAAATGCTGCAGATTCTTCAGGTGAGATGCTAGTGGGAGGCCAAGCACTGTGACCAACTCCAGATAGATCACGAACTATCCAGAAAAGTTCCACCTGCTGCTTAGAAGCTTCACTTATCCAGACAGCAAAGTAAGCTCGACTAGCAGCCTTCAGCCTAATAAGGTAATGGTTAGTCATGATCCTGACAGCTTTCCAATTCTATTCTGTTGGGTTCCATCCCCAATTGCACTCTAGCCTTCCCCTGTTCTGCTTCATAGCTCTCAGCTTCTGGTTAAACCAGGGTGCTGGACAAGCTCTGCAATGGAGAGGGCATCAACAGCCCTGGAGGCAGCAGCAAGCCAGCCATCAACCAGAGCCTCGACAGGAGCGCCAGTCAGATCAGCCGGAATCCCTCTCATGGAATCCTGGAATCCTATAGGATCCAGTAGGTGGACCATTCAAATATGATTCAAAGAAATTCTTCAAGACCACAAGAACTACCTCAAAAAGATGGAATCACTATTCCTCTCAAAATGAGCACATCTGGAAGTAGTATGCCAACCCCCCTTCCCTGTATAAGCCCAACATCTATTCATCTATTTCATGTATTTGTATTCATGCAAGTACACAGTTGCATTCACTATACTTTCCATATCCAATCAATAGATGTTCTTTATGCCATTGTTAAAGGCCTTATTGGCCATATTTTCCTTGATGCACAGGAAAAATGAGGCTCAGATGTTAAATTAATGTGCAAGTTGAGCTTATCATCCTAAGCGTTTATCCTGCAATCTAGTTTTTACTGGGATGCAAAAAAAGATCAATACATTAAATGATTGCATAAATTTAAAAATTAAAAAAGTAATTAACATGAGGTTTAGATATTAAATGTGCTCAATGATTCATTCATTGGGACTAGTTTTCCTGATTGTGTTCTTGGCTGTCTACAAGGCATCAACATGTAATATCTGTATCTTGTGTCTATAGAAACGTATCCTGTGACTCAGACGTATTAATGTCCCTGGCTACTTAATTAGGCTCCTCCAGCAGTGTTTCTCTGCTAGCTACTTCTATGGGAGTTGGACTTCCATTTTCTTTGCAAGGATGTACTTTGCAGTAGAAAAGCAGATGCTCTAAGTCTGCATCAGAGGAAGAAATGAGTAATGAATAATGCCTGCATGAAATAGACAGTAGTATTTGGCAAAGTGCTATGCATTATAGGTTAAACCATGTATCTGGCAAAGAAACTGAATCCTCCCAGATCTTTTTGTGACATTCACATCTTTTCACCCTGAGTGTCCATTGATCATTCTCTGCAAATATGTTCTAAAATTTGTATTATCTATTGTTCAGTGACAGATTGACCATTTAAGCACTACTGCAAAAGAAATGCTGCCACAAAGTGTCACAGAGAGAGAGATATGCATATTTACATTTGCAATGTTACAGATACATATACAAATTTAAAATTAAATATGATTTCTAAAAAGAATAATAATAATGCATATTATTGTAGTGATGCTATAGGATAGTGGTTCCTGAACCTCAGATAACTCAGGTGTTGTTTGACTGCACTTCCCAGATGGCTTCATCCCAAGCTCAGCTGGCCAGGATTTCTAGGAGTTGCAGTCCAAGTACACCTGGGTTACCCAAGGTTAGGAACCACTGCTATAGCGATAGATGCTGTGATTAGGTGATCTGTGTGCCTGCTTAGCCCAATGTCCAGCACTAATACTGGATCATCCTCAGATAACTCAGGTGTTGTTTGACTGCACTTCCCAGATGGCTTCATCCCAAGCTCAGCTGGCCAGGATTTCTAGGAGTTGCAGTCCAAGTACACCTGGGTTACCCAAGGTTAGGAACCACTGCTATAGCGATAGATGCTGTGATTAGGTGATCTGTGTGCCTGCTTAGCCCAATGTCCAGCACTAATACTGGATCATTGCTTGGGAGGAAAGCGATGACAAATCTTGATAGCATCTTAAAAAGCAGAGACATCACCTTGCCAACAAAAGTCCGAATAGTCAAAGCTATGGTTTTTCCTGTCGTGATGTATGGAAGTGAGAGCTGGACCATAAAGAAAGCAGACCGCCTGCTGCCACAAAGTGTCACAGAGAGAGAGAAAGAGCTGCATATTTACATTTGCAATGTTACAGATACATATACAAATTTAGAATTAAATATGATTTCTAAAAAGAATAATAATAATGCATATTATTGTAGTGATGATATAGGATAGCGGTTCATGAACCTCAGATAACTCAGGTGTTGTTTGACTGCACTTCCCAGATGGCTTCATCACAAGCTCAGCTGGCCAGGATTTCTAGGAGTTGCAGTCCAAGTACACCTCAGTTACCCAAGGTTAGGAACCACTGCTATAGGGATAGATGCTGTGATTAGGTGATCTGTGTGCCTGCTTAGCCCGATGTCCAGCACTAATACTGGAGGACACGACTAAACGACTAAACGAACGAATACTGGATGAGTTACTTAAAGGCTCCTATTTCCCTGGCTTAATGGCTCTCTGTCTTCAAAGACATGGATAAAAGAGTGGGATTGAATGTGTCGGGAAAGCTGAGAGTAATCCCATCAGGATGCTAGACTCTGCATCAAATCTGGATTCCCAGCAGGGTTATTCAAGGCAAAGGTGGAGACACTAGGCAAAGCTACATCAGCAAAAGATAATTGATAGTTCCAGTGGTGATAGAGGTACAGACATTCTTGAAAAGCAGCTCCTGGACAGCAGCAGGACTCGAAGGTGGTCTGCTGGAGGATTTTTCAGTGAGAACAGCAATGACATACAAGCTAACATTTGTTTGTATTATGCACAGGAGTATCATCCCTACAAATCCCTCATGTTAAATCTGGCATTCACATAACAGAATTAGAAATCAGGAAAGAGAAAAAATAAAGAATATTAAGAGTTGTATTCTTTGTAGCTTAGAAATGAATCTCCCTGCCTTTCCTTCTGCACAGCCATTGATTAAATCCTCAATGCTTTATTGCTGCAGAACCACTAATTTCAATTCCAGGTGAGAGGAAGAACACAGGTCAGTGAGAAGGGATAGAAAATGTAGAATAGCAGACATTCTGCTGTTTAAAGATGGAATAAAAGATTACTGCACCCAAGTCCTTTTAGTCCCTTATGTTTTCCTTTCCTTTCCTTTGCCTTAAGAAGCCCATGGGGACTTTTTTCTGGTGGATGGGAAAAATGGGGGAGAAATAAAATAGGACAATCAATTATGCAGACAGCTGCTGGCATCTTTCTGTCCCATATGCGCTGTTCAATCTATGACCTGGCCTTGCTGTTTGCCCTTCCTGAGTCACAAGATAGGGGTCTTCATGGAGAAGGGAAAATGCACAAACATTCCCTCAGAACAAGACCAAGTCAGGATGTGACCAAAAGGGCCCAGAACCAGAAAGCTCTGTGTGTTCTTTATTCAGTTGCAGAGTAGGTCAGGGCACTCTGTACGTCTCTGAGCCACAGTATGGCATTCCCAACTGATGTGTACAAACGCAAAAGCTGGATAGTGAATAAAGCTGATAGGGATAGATTCATTCATGTAATGTCAGAAAAAAACTGCTATATGGATGTCATGGACCTCCCAGGAGACAAATAAGTGGGTTCAAGATCAAATCAAGCCTAAACTTTCACTAGAAGCTAAAATGGCTAAACTGAGGCTGTAATGCTTTGGACATATCATGAGAAGACAAAGGTTACTGGAGAAGACAATAAGGCTAGGAAAAGTGGAAGGTACTGAGGAAAAGAGGAAAACTAAACATGAGACAGAATGACTGAATAAAAGCACCCAGAAGCTTTAGTTTGCAAGAGCTATTAATGTTAGGACCTTTCGAAATCATTCTTCCATAGGGCTGCCACAACTCTGAACTGACCTGATGGCACATTACAACACTATCATTCAACTGGACTCGGATTTGACATCACTTCATCCAGAGCATGCTTTCAAATAGAAACACAGAACTGTTATAGCCTTTTGAAACACTTACTGTTCTCTGAAAAGAGAAAACACATGCCTATCCTGCATGCTTCCGAAGCATAAGCAGGAAAAGAGGTATGACAAACAGCCTCCAAAGGGAAGCCCAAGATACCTTGATCATGAAGGAGGTTTTCCCAGGGTGAGGCTCATCCATTGCATTCCGGGTGTGCTGACCCCTCCGATTTCCCCAAACGTGGGAAACACAACTGCATACTAACTCAGGGAGTTGCAGTAAAGGTTGGAGTTCAATGTGCAAATACTCACATAAATAAAGTCATAGGTTCTCGACTGTTTTCCTCCTGGTGGCAGGGTGGAAATGCCTTGCAGTTTGTCCCAGGGTGACTGTTCTCTCTCTCTCTCTCTCTCTCTTTCTTTCCCCCCTGATAAAGAGACCTACTTACAGATACTGCTTTTACCTCTCCTCTGCAGATCTGGGAGAACAGGAAGCACAAGCTTTGTGGTTTTGATGTCACGAACCTCCCCCAACTCCACAGTGACTGTCCAGAGGTCTCCATTACTAAAAAGTTAATTATTTCCACAGTGATGTAGGAAGGGCTAAAGGCCTTTCCAAAGTTCACCAGCTGGGAAATAGGTGGAAGTGTCAGCATCCTGCTCACCATCCCAGTAGCTGACACTCGTGCAGATACATGTCAAAATCTGGATTTTTTCTAGACCTAAAGCTGCAAAGATGATGGAGATCACAGAGCTCCAGAGTGAGTATGATCATAGCTGTGAGAGTTTATTATTCATAGATTATTAGTATTAACTCAGAGAGTGTCATTGGGCCTAATCAAGACTTTTCTTTTGTCAACCAAATCCTTAATTATGGTATCATAATCTCTAATTTAGAATTTAGAGTAATGGGGGCGAGTCGACTAAACTTTCTAGAATTCCCCAACCTATGTGGTTGGTCTGCCATCCTACAATCTTCTGGTTTCTGAGGAAATGAGTGCTCACAGCCTTAAAGGTGTCACTGTACTTTATTTTTTTTATCATTACAATTTTCTTATAGTCCAAAAAAGTGATTTTTGCAAATTGTGCTCTAGTTGTAGTTATAGTGGCAAATGTTTCATAGGAACATTTTAAAGCTAACATTAAAGAATGTGATATTGGAGAAAAAACTATACTATCCTCTTTGCCTCTGATCCCAAAGAACAAATGTCAGATGTCTCTAGACCATATTTGTGAGGAGGGTATGATGCCTCCCTTGGAAAAGCCAAGAGGAATTACAACAGGATTACACCTGAGAGGCATTAGCAGATAATAGGAACTGGTGGGAAAGTTGTTTCCTTTTGTTTTTCGTAAAGAAATTGCCAACATTCAAAAAAGCATATTATTATATAATTTGCTATCATTTATATTTTTACTGCCTGGGGAGAGGCTGCTTGTGGAATTTTCCTCCTCCTATGTCAAAATAACATGGTTGGCTTTGAGTATTTTGCAAATTACTCCGCTTGAGATCTGTACACACCTCCTCTCTGGTCAAGGAGATAGTAGACAAGCGGTGAAAGGAATTGATTCATAATCAACAATGGTCAGAGAAATAAAATGCAAACAGCTCAAACTGTCTGGTGTGTTATAGCACCATCCAGGCTGTACATAGAATGCAGGAAAGGGAAAAATTCTATCCATCCTATGAAGAACAAATTAATCTACATCACCAGATGTTTGGAATAGATATGTTATTTTAATTAAATATTTTACAAAAGATCAACTACACATGTTTGCACTTCTAATACTATAAAAACTTTGCCTTGCTGGAAACTTAGCTCAGGACTGTGTTGATTTCATTTTTCTTTTTGCAGTGCTTTTTTATTATTGCTGCATGCAAGTGTAGCTGATCTTCTGCTGCAAAGCAAATCAACTTTTTATAAGGCAATTCTAAAAATGGGGGCAGTGCAAACAAAAAAAATTGTAACTTGTAAACTGGACTTCAGAGCAGCACCAAATATGCCATAGTTGTCACAGTCTGATCTTGCCTGCATTGCCAGCAGAAAAAAGGATGCCAAATTTTACATAGCAAAAGGCAAGCCTGAATGTTGACAACACCCATGCCAGCAGTCAAGATGGTCTATAGCAGTGTTTCCCAACCGTGGGTAACGTGGGTATTTTTGGGCAGCAATTCCTAGCAACACAGTGTTTCCCAACCTTGGGTAACTTGGGTATTTTTGGCCAGCAATTCCTAGCAACCCCAGCGCAGCTAATGGTGAAGGCTTCTGGGAGTTGCAGTCCAAGAACATCTGGGTTACCCAAGGTTGGGAAGCAGTGCTGTAGATTGTCTTGATTGCTGATACAGGTGTTGTCAACATTCAGACTGCCGTTTACTATGTAAAATTTGGCATCCACAGACTGCCGTTTACTATGTAAAATTTGGCGTCCATTTTCCTGCTGGTTACATGGACACAATATTGTGCACCAATATCGGGGCATTTCCGGATGTTCTGGATCCTGGGTAAAGAGGGCACAAACTGCCAGTTCGGTAGTTTGTGCCTGTTTGTTTAAAGGCTGAACAGGTGTTCGGTACCTCAAAGCCCTGCCTCCCAGTGGGCACCCACATAAAGGCAGTGCCCAGAGAAGGCTTTCCTTCTGGAGATGATGTTTCAAAGTCTCAACATAATTATCCATCTGTCAACTCTAGAACAATTCTTTTAGAAAAGCAGCTTTCAAAATTCCCTAGCTAATATGGCTGATCTTTATGTTGACTGGGGTTTTTTGGAGCGCTGTTTCCCTCAGAGATAACTTTTTCAAGTCTCATACTCCACCCAGACATCAACTGTATTTGCTGTCTGTGTGGGCCTCCTTTTCTGATGGCAAAAGGAAGGCAGGTTTATGTAGGAACAGGAAGCTCTTCAGGTATCTAAGTCCAAACATCCTCTACCAGTAGACTTTCCACTACACCACAAGCAAGACTTTTCTGTTTGTTAGGGGGTGATAGTGATTATACCCATGTCATCTGTTGCAGAGATTGGCGTGGGACTCATGGGCTTTGGGCTATTCTTCCTTCTTTTTGGAATGATGCTTTACATGGATGCAGTGCTCCTGGCCTTTGGAAATGTAAGTTTTGGCTAATGCTCCAGGTGTTGTCTCCTCCAGACAGGCAATAAGTTTTTTTATTTCATCACGTAAAATATTAGGTTAGTTTCTCTCCAGTACTTCAGTGCTCCAACAATACTTAAGGACTAATGGCCATGCTGGCCAAAGATTTCTGGGGGTTATAGCTGGAAAATAATTTATCCATGTTTTGGATTAGAGGTGTGCAGATTTGCGGACTAGAGTTCCAAAAACACACATCTACCCACCTCCGTTCTAGATAAAGTTCATCCAGCTTGTATAGGGATTCAGCCTTCGTATACAGCAATTCACAAGATTATATTACATAGAGCTCATTGCTTGTGATAACACTCTAACAAAACCTATGGAGTGTTTTTGTCCTTGTCCTTAGATCCTGTTCCTGTCTGGTCTGGCTGTTATCATTGGACTAAGAAGAACTTTCAGTTTCTTCTTTCAGAAACCAAAGCTAAAGGGAACGAGTTTCTTTCTGGGAGGCATAGTCATCGTTCTGCTTAAATGGCCTCTCCTGGGCATGTTGCTGGAGATCTATGGCTTCATTAACCTCTTCAGGTGATTAATCCAACTAAAACCATAGATGTATTCTCGAAGGCTTTCATGGCCAGTATGCAGTGGTGGTTGTAGGTTTTTCGGGCTGTCTGGCTGTGTTCTTCTGTGGGAAACTGCACACACATAGGATAAGGCCAGGGCCGTAGCTAAGTGTCCCTGAAAACAAAGACAAATACTATGTTGCTACCTGATCTTTTTCCCAAGTCTGGCCAACTTTGAGGTTTCCAGTCAATCCCAGTATGAGATCATTGTTGTACATTCCAGTACCCTTCTGCACCTGAAATAGATTTGAACATATCATTTCATGATGGCTCAGAAACCAAAGTCCCATCCCTAGATACTAATGTTTCTAGCTAGAATCCTAAAATCCAGATCATTCATGCATATCTACCATTTCATTACTTAGCATTTCCCAACTTTCCACTTTATGTGGAAGAAAAATATGCATTTAATACATTTTTATTGAGATGTATTTTGTGTGCAATTGGTATCTGTGATACAAAAGGTACATCTGCAGTGCATCATCTTAGATGATTGATTCCTTCCACAAGTCTTCATTCTAAGGCACAAGCAATTTGATTACAATTCCCAAACTATAGTAGAGGATTTTCACATTGTCGTCAGGTCTACATTTCAAAACCAGCCTGATTCACATCTCCTATATGTCACATTGCAATACAAAGTTCACACTCTGATTTTTGAGGTGCAAGTCTTTGATCCCAGATCATACCAAGATGCATATTAAATGCATCTTTTTCACTGATAGTATGCTTTGAGAAATGGGTACTTTCAGAAAAATGCATTTAGAAATGCGTATTTTATGATATGATAGCTTCAAAAATATTGATGAGATACATAGACATAGAATTTTTAAAAGCAATAATCACAGATTACTGCAGAGAGATTTAGGAATGAACACATGAAAAATCGCCACAGCATGAAAATATAGCCCTAGTGCAAATTGTTTCACAAGATGAAACATCTGAGGACTTGCTACTGCTCAGTCAAAGCCACAGTGCAGGAAGTGCCATGGGAAAAGTAGTAAAACTTCTCACTACAAATACTTAAAATGTCACCCTATGCTTATTATACAGTGGGGTCTCTACTTAAGAACTTAATCCGTATTGGAAGGTGGTTCTCAAGTTGAAAAGTTCTTATGTTGAATCTGCATTTCCCATAGGAATGCATTGAAAACCATTTAATCCGTATCTGCTCTTTTCCGTCCATAGAAACTACAGTGGAACCTCTACTTAAGAACTTAATCCGGTTTGGAATGGTGTTCTTAAGTTGAAACGTTAAGTTGAAGCCAAATTTCCCATAGGAATGGACTGAAAACCAATTAATCCGTTCTGGCTGGGTTTTTTTTGTTATGTAGAGGTGCGCTCATACATTGAAGCATTAGTTCCCATAGGAACTAATGCAAAGCTGGTTAATACATACTCTACCACTAGGGGGAGAATTTTTTTTAAACCTAAGATGACCTTAAAAAAAGAGCAGGAAAAGTTTTTTTCCTGTTCTTGTCTTGGATTTCTGTTCTCAAGTAGAAGCAAAATTTAGCAAATGGAGCTGTTCTTAAGTTGGATTGTTCTTAGGTAGAGACATTCTTAAGTAGAGACCCCACTGTAATGTGCATTGCTCAGCACAACCGTGGAGTTCTCATGCCACTTCCTCAACACTACACATCTACTTTCTCCTTTTGATATTAAAACTAAAGAGAGAGTGATGGTAGGGGACAGAGAGAGACAGAGTCCTTCAATGAAAAACCAATATTGTCTTGCCTAGTTTGGCTTTCTAGTTCCTTTTTAGATCATAATTTTCAGAATAATTAACAATACTTCTTTTTGTCTTCAGGAGTTTTTTTCCAATTGCCTTTGGATTTCTTGGATCATTAGTGAATATTCCATTCTTGAGCAAGGTAATGGGAACTTTGGGGAACCTGTTATTCTATGGGGAAAGTACCATTTTAATTGCGTGATTTAGTGCAAAGTCCAGTGTTTCAGCTGGTTTTTTTTAAAAGCCTTTTTCCAGAAGACCTTCCATTGTTATCTCTAATTTTAAAAAATAAATAAATTAAGGATGTGTATTAGCACCAAAATTCGAATTCAGAATTACAGCCTTTCAGATGCCCAGATATCTGTAACTCCACAACAATCAATATGAATACTATAGTCATTATTTTCCCCTATAAAAGAAAACACGGATTTTCCTGTGTCCTCTGACACCTTCTCAGTGACTGAGTCGAACAAACAGAGTGCCCACCAACAGCCATCAGTGCCTAAGTATTGGGAAATGACTGTAATGGGCATACTGATTGAACCCTAAACAGAGGGAATGCCAGCAGCATTGGGGAAGCAGAAGACAGGTCGCACTTGGGAGTGGGCAGCATTGGCCGAAAGAGTGGAACAACAGATAGCTCGTGGTGGGTGGGAACTGGGTTAACCGTATGGGGCACAGGAGGAATAGCAGTTGGGAAAATGAAGGAGGCAGAGGGAGGGCACAGCAGACTGAAGCATGGCATACCTAGTATTCTGATCAGAGTGTGCCATTCTCTCTTACTTAAAGGGGACCTCAGGAAAGTACAGCAATGGTAGTTTGAGCTTTAGGAAAGTAAGTTTTTCAACAGATCCAAGTTCCGGGCATTAGTGGCATGGACTGATGATGTCCCCTGTGAGAGCATTCTCTCATGGGACATGCACACTAGTTGGTGAGCAAGACAGCCGTCCCACTGTGATCTTGGCCAGATCTCCCCAAACGGACTCCTCCCCAGCCCAGTCAGACAACAGATTCTGTTTTCTGGTTTGCAGGGCTCTTGCATATATGCCCCTAGCTCTGCCTCTGCCATTTCCTTCCTCTGGGGTGGTTCTCTGGAGGACAGGACCCTGCCATGCTAGTCAAGACAGTGTCCTAAACATCTTGCCCTATTGTTGCAGAGGTGAGGGACCTGGAGTCTAGGATACAAGTGCTGGTACTGCTGTTTGAGGTCCTGTGAACATTGCTAATTTCGTCCTGCTCTTTTTTATCCATCAGTACTAGCTGGATGTCTTCACTAGCTGCTGCAGCATATGATGGAAAGTTGGCTGGCAGTACCCTCCCCTACCCCCGCTGCTTAATATTGATTGCCTGCTGTTTAATTCAGAGGTCCAAGAGGTTGCTAGAACATACTCTTCCTTATTCTACAAGTCAGCAAATCTATACTGGAGCATGTCCTTTAGCTTGCTGGCCAGGGCTAACATTTCAGGCTGGAAAACATTATGTTCTCCTACTATAGAATCTCCTATCAACCTAAACTGTCCCCTTATTATGCCCTCTATCATGCCAGCCAACCACAAGAACATTGGGATTGCCTGACTAAGGATAGCTCTCAGAAGAGAGGATAGCTCTCTCCCCATCAACGTACTCTCAAATTTTCAGCCCCACTGGGCAGAGCTCTGTCTCTCTCTTGCATGGGTCCGCCCCTGCGTGCTGGGCTCCATCACAACTGGAACCTAATGCAATTGCTACATGAAGAAGACAGCTGCATGGAGGGAAGGAGAGCTGTATGCACTTGCGCATCCAGCTTAGCAGGAACCCTGCTCCCTGCTAAGAACCTTTTTTGCACTCTCAAAGCTTCAGAGGATATAAACCACATGACCTATAATGTCTCACTCTTCTGGGGCAATCTGAACTTTTGACTCTGCCACTCAGGATCCAATTACTTGACTCTCAGAAAGAGAACTTTTTAACTCTTTCATGGCCAAACAGGCATTACAAAAGGATTCTGTGTCTGGTTATAAAAATATTTTAAAATATTTTTAAAAGAATAGAAAACGAATATTCAGAAGCACAGTTGTTTAAGTTGTGTGATTACTGTTTTTTGCTTTATGGCTGGGAATAGTCTTACTCAATGTTAGCAGAACTTTGCTGCCTATATCTTGTCCTAGTTTCAACTATTCCACCCATCTTGTCACTCTACACTTCTCAGGAAATCACTCCAGCATGCCTGAGAAGTTGGTTTCACTTTCACTATTTCCAGTCTAGCAAGCAGAAACTTAGCCTTTTGCTTTCTAATCTATAAGAGTAAATGGGACTCCAAATATTAGAAATTATTATTACAGATATCTGAAACTATCAAATTTGGATTCAGATATTTGGAACTAGTCAAATATGGCATTTGATCAGACTGGATTTTATGCTCAGAAAAAGTCCTTTCATAAGTTACCTTGTAGTAGAAAACAAAAAAAAAGCAAATACTCTCCACAGCCACCTCATAAGCAAACATCAAGAATTCTGAACCTCACCCATGAATTTCCCCCTTTTTTGTGTGTGTATGAATAATTTATCTTCTATAAAATTGTCTGTGAATGGTCAAAACTCTCCTGGGAGATTTGGGGGGGGGCTATTTACTTCACAGTGCTATTTGCCTCTAAGCGTGTGACTGGCTATGAAAACAGATCCAGCAACATATCTGAGTTTATTTACACAACCTTTCTGTTATAGGTTCCATTCTTTTTATAGTAGGACAGCAATATGCAGAGGATCAGTTACAAGCCCCCATCCCACAGGTGCTGAAAACTGTGTATAACAAATCTGATACATAGTATCTGTCTCCCTCTAGTAGAAAGGCCTGGTAATATACCTTGGAAATGCATATTTCGGGGCGGGAGGTGTTATTTAATATTTTCAGGCAGTGGGTAAATGAAACTGTGGGTAAAGCTTCCACAGATACAGCAATCCGACCGTATACTTCTTTACAGTGATTGTTAAGAACTTTTTTTCCTTCCAGATGTTCCAGAAAATTGGAGACACCAGTTCTGTGGTATAACCCACATGAATGGCCCATGCCAGGGTCAACTTTCCATCCTACAAGACAGAAGATGTCCCCACCCCACAAATGCAGCCTCACAGTTTACACTTTCAGATGCACCTCTATGGTCAGCTGTAGGAATGTGTATTGTAATTGGAAAGAATTACTCAGAGGCCTTGATTGCATGAACAGTTACAGTTGTGTGCATAGGGTAAGGATCCAACACTCTGTTGCTGGTTCATCAGGATCTTTATAAACGGTTTTAGCGGATCCTACTACAGGATGTAGAGAAAGCAGCTAACTGAGCAAGGTGCTCTCCGAAGAAATTTTGTGTTTAAACCTTGCTAACAAATTACTCCCAGAAAGACCCATGCAATTGATAGCTTTACCGTTGTAAACAGCTGCAATGGACTGGGTATATAACATTTCTGATTACTTTTCTTTTCCTAGCAAGGCGGAGAATTTGTCATCTCACAATATTTTGGGCAGCAAACCCTAATACTGTACCCCCAAACACTGGGCATCTTAATTAGTTCTGATGAAAGTCTGTTGACCCCCATGTTGTTGGATTTAGATTCCCCCACCTCTGTGGAACACATTGATTTCTTCTGTCCCTTCTAACCTCTCATCAAATATGTTGTGCAATTTTTTGTTGGACTGTAAAAATCTGCAAAAGGTTTTCATAGACAAAAACTGTGAGATCAACATATCCCAAGTTAATATATCCTACTGCCTTCAACTATTCAAAATATCCATCAAGAGATATACTAGAACAAGATCTACAAAAGATAAATTAGAGTGTGATCAGATGACTGCAAAGACACAGACCTGATTGCATGGGAAAAAAGATCCCTTTAATGGGAGCAATGTCCCTTAAAGCAGCCCTTCTGTTTGCCAAAGAGTCACTGCAGCCCCGGTCCCCAAAAGTAGAAGCCCTAAAGCTAGACCAAAAAGGTGCAGCTTGGACATGGATCAGGGCTGGGCTGGAGCACATCCCCTCCATGTCAAGTGATCGTCGGGAAGTAGATTGCACAGGACTGTTCTGCTAGCAGTCCAAATTGCAATCTATTTCCCCATTTGATCACACCTTTAGATACTGTAATGTACAAGATATGCTACAGTGTTATTACAGAGACCAGAGTGATTTTTTTAAAGTCCAGCTCAAAGAAATGCTTTGAATGCCACAACGTTTTAATTATTTGTCTTCCATAAAATTCAGCAAAAGAAAATTGGTGGATGTTCAGTTAACTTCAACATGTCCAACAAAATATTTTGTGTAGTGGGTAGAAAACAACATCCACTCAGCCATATCTTGCAGGTTGGGACCCCTTTTTTATTTAAAAGAGTAAGAACAGTGACTTAGGCATCTGCTTGCAGAGCCAGATTGGGAGTTCAATTCTCCACTGTGCCTCCTTGATAGGGGCTGACTTGATGATCCATAGGGTCCCTTCCAGCTCTGCAGTTGATGATGATGCTATCTGCCCATAATGCAACTTTTCTTCTGTTTTTGTATTTAATAAAATTAGTTTAGTTATGTAAAATAAAGTGTTTACAAAATGTCATGTTGGTACCTGTATGTTTTTGCTTTGGGGCAAGGCAAAGCAATCTGGAAAAAAAAATACTCAAAATGGGGGGGGGGAGATAGATTTCCTCTTCCCAATGCCATGATCTTCTTCCAGATCTGCGGATGAGAGCTAAAGTCCAGATTTTGTATAGAAGACAGCTTGAGAGATATGTTTCATCTAGTTTGGTTAATACTATACTGTATAGTATTTGAATAGTACTGTAAGTTATTTGAAGGACACTAAAAGATTTTTGTTCCCAGACTTTACCTTTTATACGAACTATCAATGCACAGGTTAGGCATATAAGATCAATGACATCCAAACATGCAAGCCATAAATCAGAAGCAAACAACATTTCCACTTGCACAGCTAGGGTCACAGAAATCCTTATGCAATGTTGAGTTCATACCTTGGTTCCAAATTTCGTAATGCGTAGGGCAAACCCACTGAAATCAATGGGATTTAACAACATCCACGGGTTGGCACTAACCTTCTACAATAGTGTGCAAGCTTTCAAGCTCTCCAAATTCTTTGTAAGCATAGACGGTTGTTTAAATATGGAGGAAAGGAAACATGGAAGTTCAAAATTTTGTTCAGATTCTTTAACAATGAGGTCTGAAATAGACTTCAAAGTTTTGGCTTTCCATACCTTTTCTTTCTCCCTACATACCTTTTTTAACCACTTATTCTGATGAAAAGTTCTAGAGAAAGGAAAAGATGTACAGATATTGTGGGACTGCAGTTCGCAGTCTAGTCATGTTAAAAGTTTGATTGATTCTAACCCAACACATAGGTGGTGATGAAAAGGCTCACTATCCCATCCCCTATCTATACATAATTATTCTAATAGATTTTGCTTACAATTTATTGTAATGATGTTCAAAATTCTCCCTCTTCTCCCTGTTTTAAAGAAGGAATATATACAGTTGGAATGTCAACATAGTCCCATAGATTCAGTGTCATCCCTAATTCCCATAGATTTTATTCTATGTGGATTTTAATATGTATACTTCTACATATCTTACATTTTAATTTTATTTATTTCTAGAATGCTCCCCATTACAAACAGCCCTCTCTTCACTTCTGTCCCTTGTATTGCTATAAACAGCCATGTAAGAAATTACATAGATCAGTGGTCCCAAACCTTGGGCCTCCAGATGTTCTTGGACTTCAAATCCCAGAAATTCTGGCCAGCAGAGGTGGTGCTGAAGGCTTCTGGTACTTGTAGTCTAAGAACATCAGGAGGCCAGAGGTTAGAGACCACTGACATAGATCACTGCTTTCCCTGTTACGTGGTGGTGAAGGCTTCTGGAAGTTGTACTCTAAGAACATCTGGAGGCCAGAGGTTAGAGACCACTGTCATAGATCACTGCTTTCCCTGTTACATTATGAACTGCTTCCCTTTCTTTCTTGACTCCAAAGGAAGACTCCCTCATGGTACCAAATAGCTTCACATTGATTCACATGTCAAGATCACTGTGTTCCTCTAACAGAATGAACCTCATTTGGTTCTAGTCACCCTTAGCCAAGCTCACCTCTTTTAATATTGATTGATTGATTGATTGATTGATTGATTGATTGATTGATTGATTGATTGATTGATTGATTGATTGATTGATTGATTGCATTTATATGCCGCCCATCTAGACATAGTCCTAGCCCATAAGTCCTAGCCCATGTCCTTATTGTGCTCTACTCTCTCTATGGGAGGGGCAAGATGTCTGATAGTAGATCTTGGAAAAGTCACTTTTTAAAATCTCCAAGACTCACCTACAGTCATGGCCAAAAATATTGACACCTTTGTAATTATGTCAGAAAATGCAACCCTTCTCTCAGAAAATTGTTGCAGTTGCAAATGTTTTGGTACTCACATGTTCATTTCATTAAGGTAGGGGTGGGTCACATGTAGACAACTCTCTTCATTTTATTGAAGTCTCCCTGATTTCCTTCCACAGCTGCTGAATTTGCCAGTGTGTGCTAGCAAAAAAGAGAGAGAAAGCAAGCTAGAAATAGCTTTAATAGTAAGGTATGTGGAAGTACATACTTTATTTGAATCATGGACATAGGAACCTCCCAGAAACACAGCTGTTTGTGTGCGCTTGTGTGTTTTTAAGATGCAAGCTTCTATATATGTCTGTTTTCCATGGAAACTGTGGAGCCACAGCACTTGTCAGAGTCCTAAATACCAACAATAAATCTAATGCTTGCCAGGAAATTTCTCACACATACATTAAAGTAGCCTTTCAACTGGAAGTATTATGGATTCCATATGTGATTCTGTAGATGCAAGGTGTGGGCCTGCAATAAGCAACCCCATCAAGTGCCGCCCAGAGTAGACCATTGGTCTAGATGGGCGGGATATAAATCTAATTAAAAAAATAGAATAAAGTGACAGAGTTGGGAAAGATTGTTACCAAAATGTCACAATACCTGTTGCCAGTCAACTCCCAGAATCCCTTGCCATTGGCCATTTTGCCTTGGGCTTCCATGAGCTGAAGTGAAATCTTCTGGAGGGTCAAAAAGTGAGACCGACTGCTTTAGAACTCTCTACCAAAGAATTTCAAGACCTTCAGCAAACCAGAATTGCTAGGATTCTGTAGGAGGAGCCATAACAGTTACATAAGAGGGTATCAAGCTACGATAATTGTGTAGTGTGCCTACATTTTGAGAGAGCTTCAAATGGAGAGAGTGGACACTGGGAAGTCAGTGCTGCTATTACACTGAGATTCTAGCCCTATGGCACTAAGACATGGGGGCTTTTCCTAAATTTAAACCTCGTGCAATTCATTGTGAACAGAAAGTAACACAGAAGCAAACGGAGTCCTTAAGACTCATGCTAGTATCAAGCAATCAATTTTTAGCTAGGTTAATTAAAATGTGATGATATGCTCTGTGCATGTTAATAAATTAGGCAAAAATATTATCTATGCAAATAGATGTAGAGAACAAGGCAAGAAGGCATTAGAGTTTGTTTGAATCAGAATAAGGGAGGAATGGCATATTCTCCTCTCTATCTAACCACTCATTGTACTAGAATGAGTAGAATCTTACTAATTTACATGAACAGATTTGAGGGATGGGGATTTTACTTGTTTAAAAAGGCATTGTTCCATTTAACAATCAAGGGAAATAGATTTGTCATCTGCCTCTGAAATAGATTCTTTTCAGGGAAGGGGATTGAGAGATGAAAGGTAGAGGTGGGTCCTGGTTTGATGATGTCACCAGTCATGGCATACAATAGAGCTGAGGTGCTTATATTTTTGTACTGGAGGGAGACTTGATCCTTGAGAAGCAGCTGTTCTCTCATCTTTCAAGAGACCAAGCAGAAGCACCAACAGACCCTGATAACAACATCTAAAAGAGGGCCACAGTAAGTAGAAGACAAGGACTTTTACACCTCAGGCTGCAATCATATGCTTCATAACTTGACAGTAAAACTCACCAGGACTTAAGACTGAAGAAAAAAATGCACTGGTTTGTATACGAAAAGGGTGAAAGAGAATGTATACGTATATGGGATTAAGCCTCTTTGAATTACGTGAGATTTACTTCTGAGTAAACAGTCATAGGTTTGGACTGTGCAACAAGATGTTTTCCTTTGTTTGAAAGAAATAGAAATTGCTTTTCAAATATGAACACTCTCTGCCATTCATTTTAGTTATATAGAAAAATGCTGTAAATATTGTAGAAAAAGTGTTGGCTTTAATATTATCTTTCAATGATCTAAATTTTAGTTATATAGAAAAATGCTGTAAATGTTGTAGAAATAGTGTTGCCTTTAGTATTATCTTTCAGTGATCTAAGGGACATGGTTAAACTACAGAAGCCTCTGTTCTGCAAGGTCAGAAGACCAGCACTCATAAGATCAAATCCACACGACGGAGTGAGCTCCCGTCTTTTGTCCCAGCTCCCGCCAACCTAGCAGTTCGAAAGCATGTAAATGCGAATAGATAAATAGGTACCACCATGGTGGAAAGGTAATGGCGTTCCATGTCTAGTCGCGCTGGCCACGTGACCACGGAACGGTCGACAGACAAATGCTGGCTCTATGGCTTGGAGATGGGGATGAGCACTGTGCCCTAGAGTCGGACACGACTGGCTAAATGTCAAGGGGAACATTTACCTTTTACCTTTAATGATGTAAGTCACTTTGGGTCCTTTTAAGGAGAAAGGTGGGGTAAAATATTTTGAATATATAAATAAATGGAAATGTGATTACTGCTCAAGGCTCCAGACTTATACTTTTGATTACTGTTTAAGGCCTCTGTAGTTTGCTGAAGGGGGGCAGTTAATACATACAATATATGTGTGTGTGTGTGTGTCTTAGCCTGACCGTAGCCACCTTGCTGCTTTGCTACATGATTCGTTTTTTGCTTATTAGACGAGAATAGATAAAGAAGGGAGGCCACCTCCATTCTGTTACTTGTAAGTAACTGGTCTAATGAAAAGTCTGTCCCTGGGAAGCGGAGTGTTAGACATGGAGAAATTATTTACTGCTCAAAGCTGGGTTCATGCAGGAATTATAGAAACCCCTCCCATTTCTCCATCTCCTCCCAACTCCCTTGGCCCCTCTTTCATGTTATGCCTTATAAAAATGTATACTTTTGTATCAGGGGCGCACTTCTTCCTTGCATGCTTTCTGCGTGTGAAGTTTGTGCCTTATTTGCTTACTTTCAGCTGAAAATAAACAATTATTTATTGAATCTCTCTGTCTCTGGCTGATTGATTAATGCGTTAGAGACAGGCAAAAACCCAAGAATTAGTCCTGGGCCCTTCATTTATTAATCTTGAGACTCTTTATTTGTTAGAGCGAGTAAGTATGTTCTACGGCCCATGGGCACGTAAATATTGGTGTAATGGAGTTAAGGGAATAATGGCCTGCACACTTCATGTTTCACACACCCACTGGGGTTTATGATGATTTT